CTGTATGTTCTACCAATAATGAGATTGTGGTGTAGCAGGGAAATGCACCGAACTCCAGATGAACTCGGCTTTACTGCAAGTCCGAAGTATGGAAATTCTTCTCGCGGTTCGCCTGAGGAGCGGCGTACGAGAGACGCCCTAGTCAGCCCTTGTTCGCCAACATACATGAAGAACCCCTTCGATCTGACCCGCAATGATGTTTCGCCTGTCATATCGCCCTTGTCACCGAACGACCATGCTCGACATCACTTTCTGGCGCAAAGAAGAAGGGACGACGGCCTTTTTCTCAATGGTGGAGATACCCCGTCTTCTTTTCAATCCACCATCAGATGGAACGCTGATGATGAAATCAACTGCTGGAGCGATGCGGCCACAGCCGGCGCAGTGCTTTCTCTGCTTCACAAAGAACCACCCAGCCCACCACCTTGCCCGCAGCCTCGATTTGATAGAAATGCCTCAGATGAGCAACTATTGACATGTGTTGTCTGCTTCGGTGACCTCGAAAATGGATTTTACCCACAGCCTCCCATTGCAGCTGGCTGCGATCACGGATTCTTGCCCGGGATGCATATCTGCTTCACCTGCCTTCGTCGAAGTCTAGACAAACAGCTCTCGTCAGGCGCCACTTTTCTGTCATGTCCAATCTGCCTTGAACAGCTATCTGATGAGGAGGTACAACGGTGGTCCAGCAGACGAACCTTCCAGGCCTATGATACCAAGCGAACTTGGCAAATCCTGGAAGAAGATGCTGAATTCGTCCCATGTGTCAGGACAGATTGCGGATACGGACAGCTACATGCTGGTGGACTCGAGGATCCAATTGTTGTCTGCGGTTCCTGTGGCACTCGAACCTGCTTCATTCATCGTGATACAGTTTGGCATGAAGGGTTGACCTGCGAGGAGTACGATCGGCTTGTCAATCCGAGACCCGACACGTCGGAGATACGGATAAACGACCGAAGAGAAGCTCGGTGTTTATTTCCAGGATTTAACAGACTAAGGACACCCCGAAGAGAAGCTGAGAGCGATGCCAGGCTCGGATACAGTTCTGGAAGGCCACATGGTCGGCTAGATTCGACGAATGAGGAGCTTTCAAGCGGTCGAACGATCCATGAGCTTCCCAAACCATGCCCGAACTGCCAGGCGCCGACAGAGCGAGCTGGGGGATGCAAATTCATGCGATGTAAGCACCGGCGTTTCCCCTTGTGGTACATACGTTGGCTAATGGTTGTCGCTGTGGACAGGTTGCTTATGTCGGCAGAACTGGTGTTGGGACTGTGGGATTCGGTGGCAGCCAGGCCATCTTGAGATTGACTGTCTTTACCAGAAAATATAGAATAAAATACTGAGGCTTCGAAGGTTCTCGTTATCACTGCTGGACAGAGTAGTATTCGATATTCGTCTCCTCTCACTGCACCTATGCCTCGGAACATTATCTGCCTCATCTCACAATTCTCACTCTATCACCAAAGCCCGACAACATTGAATTTAGCCCACTCATGAGTGATTATGCTTGTTGACTGAATCATTCATATGCAGCATAAATCTCCGCTAATGCAGGCCTTGATGGCGTCGTCACCGTCTTCTTAGCCTTTTGGATGTGTGATTGGGGGAAAGTCACAATGGCTGGCGCTAAATCCGACAATCTCACTTGTTGTTTCTTTGCCGGTTAGCTTGAAGAACAGAGGAAGAAAATCAAGGCTGTGGTATTGCAACACTTTCTCCAAAATGTGATAGGACAATCAAAATGCACACGTTCTGGACTCTCTGCCCCACGCGATGACCGCTGTGCAGATGCACACTTTAGCTTAGGCTGTATGTTATGTTGTCGACTCAGAGTACTCCCATGGTCTCTCCTCGCTAACTGATTCTGACAGAAGAGCTTGTTTCCCCCTCATCACATACCAAACTAACCATAATGATAAGCAACTTTTCTCATCACATCATGCACGCCAACATTGGAAAGTATGTTGGATCACACATGGAGCCAAGAAGGCCATAATCTGTGCAGCGGTAAGCTCTCATCTTTCCCCTCTTCCCACGCTTGAAGTGAAAGTTCTCTCATACAATGTACATCTGCACCTTCAATTTCCCGGGCTGGTCGCAGATCTTCCTCTTTCCTCTCTGTACGATTTATACTTCAGATCCTGACTGGTAGTCATCTTCTAATTACACGCATCGATCAAGATATTCAGAATGCACTAATTGCTCATCGATGCCCCCCTTTCATCGAGTCACAGCACCACGTGCCAGGGAAGGAAGATATCTAGGTTAGCGAGGCTGTCATTCATACAGCAGATCGTCTCTTCTCGGCAGGTCCAAGTTATTCGTTGCGTACAAGAAACGCACCATGCCGATAAAATGGGATATAGTGGCTTCACTGGTGAAGCGTATCATTATACCTACCACAGCCTCTACCACCCCAGCTGAGGTCGCAGAGCGTCAACGAGACCCATGGTCTCAATCGGGCAAATATGGCCTGGGTTGGATCTACTTCTCCGTTGTCCTGCTCGCTCTTGCAACCATCATTCGGTTCTACCATGTTTGGAGCGATAAAATGAGAATCGCATTGTACAAGGAAGACCTGGCGGACGCATCAGAGGGCAATTCTCCCCAGGACGAGTATGAGCTTCCAAGTGCCGCCACCGACAGCTCCACTACACAATTCTTTCCATCTCGTGGCCCTCTACCCGGTGTCAAGAAACAGCAGTCGTCGATCTCAACCATTGCCCCGTTGAATAATACAGTTGCCTTCTTGCGATGGATATTCTACCGGCCTCTCCCCGTGCTGCGGATTGGGAAGCTGCGCATCGTTTTCCCGTCGCTAGGAGCTTCTGCTGTCGTGCTCGCAGCGTTGGTCTTCGTTACCCTATATTCTTTCGTACCGCAGCCGCTGTACTACTCATCTATTGCCATTGGATCTCCACCGTTGGCCATTCGCGCCGGCATGATCGCCGTAGCCATGGTGCCCTGGATCGTCGCGCTCAGTACCAGGGCCAATTTCATCAGCATGCTTACTGGTTTCGGTCATGAACGCCTTAACGTGCTTCATCGCTGGGCAGGCTACCTGTGTCTGTTCTTGAGCTTGGTACACACAATTCCATTCTTCGTTACGCCAATCTGGGAGGATGGGGCTCTCATATGGTACCAACAATACCTTCCGCGCCACGTTTGGGTCTACGGGACAGGTCTGGCTGCGCTGGTGCCACTGGTATTCCTATGTATCCATTCACTTCCCGCGCTTCGAAGCTGGATGTACGAGCTCTTCTTGCTCCTCCACCTGCCCGTCTCGGTCGTCTTTGTTGCCATGCTTTTCTGGCACTGTAAGAACTTTTTGGCGTCGTGGAACTATTTGTGGGCCACCATCTCCATCTGGGTCATGTCGTATGCTGTGCGACTCTTCTATCTCAATTGGACGAGCCCTTTTCGCATGTCTTTCATGATAGGAGAAGAGTCAGCAGTGACCATCCTCCCTCATAATGCCATCAAGGTCACCGTTGCCACCAGGATACGATGGAAACCAGGCCAATACGTTTATCTTCGCATGCCCGGCATTTCTCCTCTCGGTCGACATCCTTTCACGATTGCGTCCTTGTGTAGTGATGATTTTCCGTCAGAGTACGGGGAAAACTATCGCGACCTGGCCCTCGTCTTCCGTCCTTCTGGCGGCTTCACACGGAAAGTTTTCTTGAAGGCCTTTGAACATGGGCCGTACAAGACGTGGACAGCGTTCCTAGAAGGTCCCTACGGAGGGATGCGGCGTGAGATGGCCGCCTTCGACGACGTGATCTTCTTCGCTGGCGGAAGTGGTATCACGGCGGTTGCGAGCCAACTGTTGGATTTGATCAAGAAGATGCGTGACGGGAAAGCCGTCACGAAGAGGGTTCGTGTAATCTGGGCTCTGAGAAGCCCAGAAGCCATCGAGTGGTTCCGAGAAGAATTGAGGATTTGCAGAGAACACGCGCCTCCCAACACGGTACACTGCCACTTCTTCTTGACGGGACCGACGCAGGACGACTCCGGACAGCAGCCTGGCCATGATATCGTCCAGGAAAAGATATACAACATGCTTTCAGGCCTGGACAAGCGAAACTCGGCATACATTCGCGAAGAAGCAGCCGGCGATCTCGAGCGCGAGAAAGAGCTGCGTCGCGAAAACGAAGACGCCATCACTTCCTTGCCCCGAATCTACACCTCTCCCGTCAGCAGCAGTCGGCATTGCACGGCATTGCCCGGCTTGCAAACCAGCCCTGCCAATGTTCCCTTTGACTTCGGATTTCCGAACACCCCCTCCATACTGCAGAAACCGACGCCTCGATTTGCATCGCTTCCGTTGCAAAGGAGGGATGGCTGGCGAATTGACCATGTCCGACCAGATATCCCGCGCATACTCACGGAATACTCGCAGACATTTGGCCGCCGTACGTGCGTCTTTGTCTGTGGGCCTCCGAGCATGCGAATTGAGGCCACGAAAACCGTGGCGCGGCTCCAGCAGCAGGTGATGATGGATTCGTGCAAAGATGAAATCTTCCTGCATGCCGAGAACTACAATATATGACGAGATGGGACGAGGCATTTTAATGACTGCAATTAGCGAAATACTCCGCTGTACGCAGCGAAGTTGATACCCGCGTTTCCTTCTTATTGTGTTTGCGATGCATCTCTCGAGACGTCGCGCTATTCGAGTCTTGCTTGTACATTCATTTTGACATCGTTGCGTGCGTGTGTAAATACAGCTCTTCGTGAAACATGAAATATAAGGCTCTGTACAACGGCTCTGGTGTAGATTCGATGCGAAATATGTACTTCCCAGCACACATGACAATCTACAGCGTGTGCAACCAACTTCTGTGCCTGCGTCTATAGCTCGGTCAAAACAGTTCTCGTAAGGGGAGGGTATCCAGGACGGCAAGAAGGAAAACAAACAAATGCTGAAAACATGGACAAAAAAACACGCAATGAAAGCAGTGGAAGAGATTGCGGAAAAGGAACGTGTCAGATCAATGTCTCTGGGGCTCATCGTCCGCCTTCCGTTTCCTTGTGGGACCATCATCCGCCTCCAGGATCCTTGACTCCGTAAACGGCCGAACTCCATGGGCATCCGGGCCATCGCTATCCTCGGCCTCGACTTTCTCCCAGTCGTCATCTTCGTCCTCGCCCTTGGCATCATTCTGGGCGGGACGAGTCTGCTCTGAGCTGCTCTGAGCGGTACCGTCTGAGTCACCATCATCATTCCATTGCAGAGCCAGTTTGACGATCCTCGCTCCAGAAGGCTTCAGTCGTCGGTAGTAGTTCTCCACCAGGCCCTCTTCTACCTGAAATCCTCGGGCAATGTACCACCTCAGACCCTCCTCGTTGGCTTCATGGACATGCGCCGTGACAGTGCGGATGTTGTAATGTTTCACCAGCTCTGATACATTATAAGAAGCAAAGGATGAGGAGGATGAAGGCGAAGGCGGAGAAGCGAAAAGTATAGCATTGAGCAGGGAGGCCGCAACACCACAGCCCCGATACGGGGAGAGCAGATGGAGAGTCTGAATGTAGAGATTCGTTGGCTCCGGCTTCTGCGAATGAGAACTCGTTCCGGGCTCTAGGGCCGTGGCGAGCAGGCGTTCAAGTCGGCATCTAATGCCGCCGATGACTTTGTCTGTCCCTGTACTTGCTCCTAAGCTCGATGCGGCGGGTGACGGGGTGGTAGACGGTGCCGCGGCTACGGGATGATCATGGTAGACCGCGACGCGTGAGACTGATGCGATGACGGGGTCGGTGATTGTCGCCGTGTAGAATGAGTTTGGATAGCGGATGGGTAGGAGGAGACCCGTGATGCGAGTCAACGAGGGGATATGCGCGGTGCTGACCGGGTCGATGGTAATGTGGGGATGGGGAGTCTGGTAGCCTGGGGAGATGGCATGAGGGTACGCGGGAGGTTGAAACGAGGGATCCCTCGCCGCTGGCGGTTTGAGCCGAGAGGCTATAGTTGGTGTAGCAGAAGAGCTCGAGGATTGTGGAAGCACTAGTGAGGGAGGCTGCATTGGAGGTCTGCTGTGTCTGGGGGAGGGGGAAGACGGGGG